AGCTTATCAGCCTTTTACCCCACCGCTTTCATGGGAGCATCTCCCTCCTCTTGCTTTTCGACCTCTTGGAGGACTGGCTGGGTTTACACTCCTTTCCTCGATCCCACCGGACCCACAAGCTCCAGCTGCCTGGTAATGGGTCCACACTGCAGCTACTCTTGGAGCTGGCCTGGAAGAATACTCCAATAATGCAGGGAAGGCGCTGAGCCTTGAAAAGAGGGAATGCAACTCAGAAAGCTGTTATAAGCCAGGAGGAGACCAGCAGGCACCAGCACATGTGCATTTTTTTTTTAATCACTTTTTTTTTATTATTTTAAGGCTACTGCCATTCCTGCTCAAAGACCAAGGCTCTTCATACACGAKGATAATTGGTTTTCCACTCCCAAAGCCCATGAGCAAAGGGAGACACAGGGTGACTAATGCACCTCCAGCCCAAGCGGACGATTTGACTTCACTCAGCGTTGCTTGCCTGCAAATATTTCTCAGCTTTCTGGAGTTCAGCTCCCTAGGAGGTTTTGAGCTTGACTTTTCAAAACAAAACCCAAAAATATTAATTTAAATGACCAAAATAGCAAATCTTATTGATGGAAGTGAACAAGGACAAAGACGTTGATGCTCAAGTCTGGGGCAAGTGGGATATTACCCACAGATTTCCTGCTGCAACTAAGGCAAAAAAAAAACCCAAAACAACAACAACAACAAAAACCCCAGCATACTAGACAGTTTTCAAATAAAAAAAGTCTGGAAAAAATGGAGAAAATCGGCATGGTTTGATTCCATCAGAAGTTTGTTGTGAACATCAGTAGTTTGAGATACAATTGCATAGTATTTAAAGAAATAGAAAAATATTTCTCTTCACAAATTGAAAGCTTTTTATTAAAAAGAAAATCAGGATAGGACATTTTGATTTCATGTGTTTTTCAGATAAATGACAGTCAAAGCTCATGGTGGCACAAAGAACCCAGCGTTACTCAATCAGTGATTTTCTGCAAGAAAAAAGAAGTCACAAATTTAAAACATTCCAGCTGTTCCAGAAACAAAGACACAGTCTGAGCTYTGCTTTTTAAGGAAACCCCAACAGCTTTCAAGGCAAACAAGTCCCCATTCTGTCCATAAAGGCAAGGATATATCCATGCACGGGAGCTGAGCCAGGTTGGGAGGACTTTGGCCCTACCAAGACCTGAGCTCCTGTTGGTGCCAGGAGGACTCAGGAGCCCTCAGCTGATTCCAGATGTGTCCAAGCAAAACGGCGCCTGCATCAGGGGCTGCCTGAGGCCGAAATTCCCAGCCAAAATTCCTGGCCGAAATTCCCAGCCTCCCGCTGGAGGCTCGGAGCCGCTGCTCACTCGGGCGACCCCGGGCTCAGCTAATTGCCTAAATGGGGGCCAGACCTCACGGTCCCTCCTGCCCAGCTGGGACCGAGCCCAGACAACCGCAGCGTGTCCAGCTGGGCTTCGTCTCCTCCAGCTCCGCACAGATGTTTCATACTCACTTTCCTCCAGCAAGGGCTATTCCCCCCAGCTCCCTTTTTTCCCTCCRAAATCTCAGTGCATCTATAGGTGAACTCAGAAAATCTGTTGCTCCCAGTCACCCAAGGCATCTCCATACGTGCCATATCCATACGTGCAATCACTCCATGATCTCCTGCACAGTACCTATACACTCAGCTGCATGTATTGCATATATAATATACACTCCCAASGCGTGCTCTGCCTTGCTTTGCATTTCCTAGATCTGGGCGAGCAAAGAGTGGAAAACCAATCCGTGCTGGTGCCGGCTTCACCATGGGGATTTGCTCTGTTCGTGTATTATAGAAGGGGAAAGTGTCTCTCCAAGCCTCTTAATGCAGTTTTATTCCTGTTCCCAAACAGGTATAATGCGAAAAATGAAGTCAGCCTGGTATGGATGGCCCCAGGACACGTCTGAGGTGATCAGTCGGCAAACATATAATTATGTCTCCCCCTTTCATGCCATTGCTTACTGGTTTAATTCCAGCATATTTCAGACAATTTTTATTTTCTAGGTGTAGATCATCATGTTATGATGATAACTGGAAGCGTGTATTAAGATCGCAATAAAAAACTCCTGTTACCAAAAGAATTTTAGGAATGAATTTAGGAGAAATATTTTCACAGAAGACTGTCTGAAAGCAATCACTGCAGGAACAAAAAAGATCAGATAATTATTTTTCTGGTTCCAACATTACATATAATGTCATTTCAAGATTTCTTTCTTTTTTTTTTTTTTTAACAGGAAAGATTGATATGAAAAAGAGGAAGTAAATAGTTTCTAGAACAAGATGTAGCTAAATATTGTATCTAAACAATTCTCTTGAATTTGCATCATCATGCATTCAACTTTACCGGGAAACATTTTGGAATATGAAATGAATAATGTGGATATTATAAAATGGCTGTCTCGGAATTAAATTTTAAGATATTGATGTGTCATAATAATAAAATAGAAAACATTTGTAATATCAAGAGTGAGCCCCGTGATCAGTTTTCTTATTTCACGGCTGCCTTTTTTTTTTCCCTATGCAGAAAGCTTGGGATGAAAAAGAACCGTACACTCCAGCAAACTGTGAGCTGTTAAAGATCTGCAYGCAGCGATGCCTCCTGAAGCAGTAAGCCCTAAGCACGGCATTACCTTTGCAGCCAAAGTTGAACATATATTAAACCATTAGCTGAACCAGCTCCTAAAAACCCATCTTTGGCATGAAACAATTCAAACGAAAGACATTCATCAAATTTACCTTGGGAAAAAAAATGCAAGCAAATATATTTATTTTCACCTTTTTTTTTTTCCTCCCCACGAGTAATCAAACATCTTTTGAAAATATTTCATAATCTGTGTCCTCTGCAATGTACTTATTTTTCTGGTCTTTCTCATTTTCGGCTTCTTGTCCCTCCTTCTCCAAAGAGGCCTGTGTTTTCCTGCCTGTGTTGTACTGCAAAAAGGGAAAATCCCCTTATTCAGCCCCATCCTGCATTAATTATGTTGGGGAAAAAAAATACACTGTTAACCCTTGCACTTAAACTCCCCAGCAGTTCCGCATAGCTCGCACAGAGAAGCACACCGGGATTTGCAGCCTTGGTCCAGTGGCTCCCTGCAAGCGCCGAGCGCCTGCCTTGCATTCCCAGCCATCCAAGCATCCCTTAGCCTTTGCTTTCCATGGTATTGGAGGGAAATCTCAGCTCAGTTTCCCAGGAATAAACCTGGAGTCTTCCCCCCGTTTGATTTTCCCCTGATCAAGTCTTCTCCAGTTGGGGAAGGTGATGGAAAATAAGGTTGAGGTGAACTCAGTCCCTAGAATAATTCCCTGCAAGACTGTCTCTAAAATACACAACTCCTGATTTCTATATAGAAAACCTTTCTATATAAAGTTTAAGCACTAACACATCTAAATTCCCCCAGCCCAGCCATGTACCTGTGGCCATGCCCAGGAATTATTCAACATGTGAACAATTTTCTTTTTTCTTTTCTTTTCTTTTCTTTTCTTTTCTTTTCTTTTCTTTTCCCTGTAAAGGCACTTGACTTAAAGCAAGTGCTAAACTCACAGCTGGGTTGAAGACCAAAAATGTTTGCAGGGGTCAGGAATCAAAATATATCAAATTATCACCAGGGCTTCCAAAGCAGACTCCAGCACAAACGAAATCAGAACATTAACTCCATTTTCATCTTAAGCAAATATCAAAAGCTTCAGTATTAAGTGTTCTGATGTGCTGTCTTCTCTCCGGCAGGTAACAGACAGGAAGAGCAAGGAATTAAATGATTTATTCAGTACCCTGGAGATTTTCTTTTATTTTCTTTCTCGTTTCCACATAAATTACACAAGCACTTTATAAAATGAATACACATAAAACACCTTATAAGTGCATAACTTTAAAAAAAAATCAAAAACAAAACAAACCTTTAAAAATCTTGCTGAAAATAGGTTTTCTGATTGCTTGTTTGTTAGCCAGTTGCTTAAATTGGCGGTGCTGTTTTAGATAATAAGTAACTGAAAAATATATACTGTATATATATAATATATATATTCCTGTCATTTGCTATAAGAAGTGCTTTGTTTAATTGTGTCTCATTCCTTCAGTACGATTAAAGAAACGACTACGTTAAAACGGCCAGAAGTGAAATAGCTTTTCACCATCACAAACCGCCCTCTAAAAGAAAACAGGTAAAAAGAAAAATACCAGACAACGTTTTGCAAAAGGTATGGAAACAATTCATGGAGAGTAACAGCGTTAACCCTGCAAACTGCCGCCAAGGTCTTCTCGTTATTAAAACACAAGCTGCTCGGCACGGGATCCACGGGGGCCAGGGCCAGTTTGGGCTCTTGGTGCGACTGAGGTATCATATTTACCGTCCTCAGGAGTCTGTCACGTCCTTCTCTTATTCCCCTCCTTGCGAGAAGAAATTAATGAAAAAGGGGAGGAGACCCAGCTAGGTGCAAGCCGGCAGGGCCACGTCTGTCACGAGCAGAAATTGCTGCCAGGAGGGAAAAATAAGAAAAACCCGTGTGGTTTCCTGCATTTGTTGCATCCCCGGACGCCTCTGGCGTGAGCCGGGGTGATGCTGAGGAGTCCTGATCCAGAAACAGGCTTTCCAGGGAGCTGTGTCCTTCTGTTTTGAGCCAGCGGTCCGATGTGTATATATATATACACACATATATGTATGTGGGTGTATATATATGTATATATATGTGTGTGTATTTATATATATATATGCATATATATATATTTACACAGAGATGGGTGCAGAGCCCGGCTGTRTGCCGCCGCCAGCAGGACCTGCAGGAAGTTTTCCCGGCGACGGCCGCTCTGTCCCTTGGGGCTCGGCTTTGTCTGCCGCTGCAGCGGAAAGTTCATGGTTGGCACCGGAGCCCTTCGCAAGGACAAAAGGGGCCGGGATGAGGGGGAGAAAACCCTGTTGCTGCCGCACGTGAAGTGTCCCGGATGCCAGCGGAGCTTCCCGGCTGCCCTGCCGGCTCGGGAGCGGCCTCACTCGCAAGCGGAGGCCACGGTGGTGACGCTGGTGATCTTGGTGGAGTCATCAGACCAGGGCTGGAGGTTCTGCAGGGCGAAGAGAGAGGAGTTGTGGACRCAGATGGGGTCCGCCTGGATGGGCTGGTTGATGGTTTTCTGGAAGGCCTCCTGCTGCAGCTGCATGAGGATGCGGTTCGCTTGYTGCCGCTCTGCCTCCCTCTCCTCCGCCGTCTGCCTCCTAGGAGCAAAGGGATTTTAGCAGAGGGAGAAGCAACTTGCTGGAAGGGGCAATCAAACTGGGAGCAAAGCTGGGAATGAAGCCCCCGTTCCAGGTGTTTTCCCACCCTGGACTTGCCCGCACTGGGGCCAGCAATGTCTCCTCCTGCACTCCAGCCAAGGAGASCCTGGATAATGGGACACCGTGTCCACAGCAGGCAGGACAAAACCCACACGCTTAAGCTATAAGGAGAACATAGGCGAGATGCTAGAAACCAACTTTTAGCACCGAGCTCAATCAAAGAGCAGACACAGTGCAGGGAGGAGAGGAGTAAGAGCAGGTTAAACACAGATCTTGCTGGAAGGACACAGGCAGAGCTGAGCCTAACAGTGGGGTCACTAGGGGCCTCCAAAGGTCCCTTCCAGTTCTGCCTCAGTCCAAGCTCTGGATTTTCTGGGAAAAGAGGACTTGGTCTGGATGTGCTGTGAAATCTGCAGTGAAAATGCTGACCCTGCTGTGCTGCTGGCTCACTCTGGAGGTTACAGTTGCCTCCAATTTACTAGTGATCCTCTCCGGCACCAGGAAACATAGACCCCTGGAACAACATGCTCGCGTCCAGGCTCCAGCCGGGAAGCAGGTAGCTCTGGGCTCAGGTCCCTGCTCTAACGACYGTGTCAACTTCTCCCATCAGGCATCCCGGGGAGAGGGGCTCCAACAGCTCCGGCTCTGTTGCCATGAATATTTCATGACTCCTGGCACAATGGCGAGATGCTCCAAGAAGGAAGGAGGGACCCTCGCAGCTGGAGCAGCCGGTGGCCCTGGGACACTGCTTGACACCAGCCCCATGGGCTGTGTCTGGGCCCGCTCCCCAGCATGGAGGCCACAGGTCCCCCCTTCCCCTCCTCCAGGAGCACCCATGCTCACCACTGTCCCATCCAGGAATGCAAACACTGCCAATGGCAGCATTTAAGAGCTTGTGGTCCTCTGTTTCATGCCAGTGTAGATTCTCCCACGTCTCATACTATGGCTGAGGTCATGCTGCAGCCTTTCCCTTACAGGGAACTGAGCATTTACGTCTCTTTACCCAGCTATTTTTGTGAAATGGCTAAATAAGTTTGCATCCTCTGCTCCTCTGCCAAAGAGGCTGAACTTGGCCAGCACACTCAAAGACTATTGACAGACAGAGAGAGACCCAGCCAAGCTGTGTTTGCCTCACTTCCTTAGGAAACCAGGTTAGAAGACAAAGCTGACCCCTCTTTGCAGGCCCTAGTGGGACTGTTCCTCCTCCTTCTCCAGGACTTTACTCCTGGCCAGCAGAAATCATTCCAGCCAGAGACTTCCTGGCATAGGGGGTCCCTAGGAAAGAGCCCATCAGTGGGGACTCACCCACTCCCTTGCTTTAAGAGCTCGTTGTCCTCTTCCCCCATCTCTTTCCAACTCCAGCCTCTCCAGGCAATCACAATCTCCTAAGGGGGAGACCCTTGGGAAGCCTTTTTCCCCCTCCTTGAAGAAGCTGTAGAAACAGCCAGGAGGGAGGACTTAACCCCCRGGTAAGTTGCCAAACACCCAGGCTCAGACTGCCACAGCTGCACGCCTAGAGCCCCTTTTCCTGCCCAGTCTGGTTGTGCACGCCCCATTCGGCAAGAGGAAAATAAAATGTGCCTCCTACAACACACAGCCTGCTCTGAGGCACCCAGCACCCAGCTCCCTTCTCTGACCCGCTAGGGAAGCTGCCCCAGGAGAAGGGGATGGTCCCGGAGATGGGGTATCTCTATGGGGATGCCCCACAGAGCTGCACTCAGCAGAGAAATGCAGGCACAACAGAGCCCAGGAACCTCGGAGTGAGCCCTGATCTCCTGCATGCCTTTACCTTCATATTTTGGAGAAGAAAAAAAACCCATTTTTGCCAGAAGAAACAAACTCCAAAGGGTGAAAAGCAGTGTGCTATGCAGGACCTAATGCACGAGGATAGTGCAGGACTTGGCTCAGACCCCCTCTCTCTCTGCTCCTGTCCAGCACGGCAGGTCCCATGGCCACACACTGCTGCTGAGGACAGCCCCAGCCCTGGGACAGCTCCGGCTGTCCCGCTGTCTCCAAGCTCTGGCATCACAGCACAACTCTGACCGGTGGTTGTTGTGGTTCCCCCCGCTCCACTCCAAGCTGGGCTCAGTGCTTGCAGCAGCCCCCACCACCCACTGCTCCCACCAAGGGAGCTGTGGGGGCAGCTGCACCCCTGAYTCCAGGGGCCCCTCACGGCGCGCRCCTCCTGCACCTCTTACACAACACYGTGCATGCAAATGAGTCCTGCACACACACAAATGCACACAYGCTTGCACATGTACATACTGCATACRCACCCAGCCATGTGCTCGCTTGTTAAGTGCACAACACTGGTGAAAACTGTGCACAGRCCCTATGTGCATGCACACCCACACGCGTGCACAGACCCCGCACGCTCACACACACGCACAGCATGTGTGCGCATCCCCACATGCAAACACACAGCCTGCACACAACCGTGCTCAGGCACACCGTGCACAATCACACACACGGTTCCCCACATGCATGTGCACACGAGCCGTGCACACACAACCAGCAGAGAAAACACACCACAAGTGCATTCACACCCGGCCCCTTGAACCCCCCTCGCGCTCCCCCAGGCCCCAAATCCTCACCTCCACTTGGTGCGCCGGTTCTGAAACCAGGTCTTCACCTGGGCGTCTGTCATCTTGAGGGCCTTGGCCAGGGCGGCGCGCTCGGCCGAGGCCAGGTACTTCTGCCGGTGGAAGCGCTTCTCGAGCTCGCAGATCTGCAGGCGCGTGAAGGACGTGCGCGGCTTCTTCTTCTTGGGGGGCGTGCGGTTCTGGTAGGGGTGACCTATACGGCGTGTTACAGTGAAGGGTGAGAGGGCCACTGCGGGGGACACGGGAGGGGGGATGAGAGGGCAAAGAAGCAAGCAGCGAGACATCAGCAGAGGGGCGGCCGCGGCCCCGCGATCCCGCCGGGCCCCGGGCACGGGCGACATCCGCGGCCCCGACGGGCTTTGCCTTGTCCAGAGGCAGGTCCTGTCCCGGCTTTGCCCCGGGAGAAAGGGGCCGGAGAGGGGAGCGGAGCCGGGGGACCGCGAGCAAGAGAGATTTCAAGCCGCCTTCTTAAAGAAACGAAAAAGCAAATGGGGAGCGCGGCAGAGCGGGGAGCTTTGCGGCAGGCGCGGGACGGAGGGTGCCCGGTGCAAACCCGCGACCACCGCGGTCCCCTCCCGCGACACCGCTAAGAGATCGTTGTAGGCGCCGCTCAGCAGCGGGCCCCGCTCGGCCCCGCCGGTGCCGCCCGCGCCCCGAGCGGCTGCGCCGGGCCGGGCTCGGCGCCTCCCGGGCCTGCGCTTTCTGCAACCCAGTTTCAGTTTGCCGTTTGGCCTGGTGATATTCGTCACTCCGACTYTCCGGGACTGGAAACGAGAGTTCGGGTTTGGTTTGCCTTTTTTCTTTTTAAAATTATTATTATTATTTTCTCTGCCTCCCTTTTTTTTTTGAGAAAACTATAATCGGTAAAACTCGCTGTATTTATCTGCGTTGCTGGGCCAGGGAAATGCTCTGAAAACAAAACAAAAAAAGAAAAACCAAAAAAAAAACAAAAACAAAGAAAAACAAAGAAAGCCCGATTGCCGATAGGAAACGGCCAATTTTTACCCCTCCGTCGCTATCGGCGGGCGACCGAATCGAAATCAGTGCGATGGAATCGAAATTAAGCGTGAACTTGCAAAAATCGGGCCCGGCTTCTGCCGCCGAGAAGAAGGGCCGATCCGGGCGCTGCCGCCCCGGGAGGCTGATTCCTCTTCGTTCCCATTTCGTTGCATTTTTAACCTCTCTTTTCGAGCTCTGGCTTTGTTAGCGCCGAGGGACAAACCCAGATGTACCGGGAAAAGGCAGCGGGTCCGGCCAGCGGCTCTCGGCTACCAAAAGTCCATTTCGGCCGGGAAAAAATGGAATTGAAATCGGCAGCGGGGGAAGCAGGAACAGCAAGATGCACGGAAAAWATATATATATATATGAATATATATTAAGGCTTTAGCCTTAAAAGCGCCTGAAGATAGGCTGACCACTTCTGGGACAGTTGGATTTTAGTGCCTAAAAATATCCCTAAATTTAGCAGCAAACTTTGCGGCAGGTTTTGCTCGGCAGAGACCGGGAAAGCCGTGCCCAGGAGCGGGCCCTGCGCGGAGAAAGAAAACAGCAACAACGAAAAAAATAAAAGAAAAAGAGAAATGAAAAGAAGAAAAGAAGGGAAAAAAAATAAAGAAACGCAACCATAGGCTCCTGGATTCGCCCAGTTTGCTTTTTCTTGCTCGTGGCCTCCTCCGGGCCGCGCGGCGAGAGATCCGGGACGCCGCCGTGTCCGGCTCTGCCGCGCCGGGAGAAGGGGACGGGAAGGGACGGGGCGTCCCGGCGCCCCGACTCACCTGTGAACCTGTCTTTCGTGTAGCGCCTGTTGCTCTCCATCCAGGGGAAGGTGAGCCCCGTGAGACTGTTCATGCCGTTCACGGCCGGCACGGCGGCGGCGGCGGCGGCCAGGGGCTGGTGCACGCCGCCGGCCACGGGCCGGTGCGCGGGCACGCGGATCACGCCGGCGGGCGAGCTCAGGCTGTTGCCGTTCATGCTCACCGCCATGTTCACGTTGTAGGAGCCGGGCAGGGCGCCCATGCTGCACGAGGTGCCGTTATAGGCGCCCGCCGCGCCGCCGCTCGGCCCGTAGCCGCCGCTCACGGTGTTGTAGGCGCTGCCCACGATGCAGCCCAGGCCGTAGTCCGCCGAGTCCTGCAGGCGCGGGTGCGACACCATGCAGCTGCCCGGCTCCGACGTGTTGAGGATCTGGTCGATGCCGAAGCTGATGGGCTCGGCCTGGCCCTGGTGCAGGTGGTGAGCCCCTATGTGATCCATGCTGCCCCGGGCACCCCTGCCCCGCCGGGCCGCGCGCAACGAGCCGGCCCCGAGTCACGCAGGACCGCGGTGCACGGCAGCCCACGGGGCTCGCAGAGCCCCGCACAAGCGCTCAAGCTCCGAGGCGCAGCGGGACCACAGCCGCCCCCCGGGGCCGGGGCCGGGACACGCTCCCCCGCGACCCCCGCGGAGCGGCGCGGAGCGGAGCGCGGCCGCGTGCGAGTGCGAGCGCCCCGCCGGCCTGTTTGCCCATCAATCACGCTAGCCAAGGCCTGCTCCTCGCAGGCCCTCACTCTCCATTGGCTGCATGCTGTGAAGAGCCGCGTGAATGACAGCGGAGAGGCACGGGCGGAGGGGGGGAAAGCGGAAAAAAAAAAAAAAAAAGAGAACAAGAAAAGAAGAATTTCTGCCCCCCCACTCAAAGGCACCTTATAAAGGCAGCGCGGCGGCGCTCGGTGGGCGCAAGGTAGCGCCAGGCCTTTTGGGTGGGTAAAGGAGCCGCTGTCGCCTGCCAGSGTCCGGCTCGGCTCTGCCGTGGGGGGACACGGGGCGCCCCGGGGACCGCGCAAAGCTCGAGCCGAGCGGAGTGGCAGGTACCGGGCGGCGGAGGAGCCAGGCAAAGGCTGAGGGTCCCACCACCCTCGCAGGGGGAGGCAGGGAATGGGGCGCTTTTTATCCCAAAGTTTTTGGCCGGAAGGGATGGGGCTGCCGGGGAAGACGAGGTCCCAATTTCCAGCGACGGAGGCGGATTTTGGGCCCTCGCGARGGCGCAGGGCCGCGGTCGCCGTGGGCCACCCCTAAACAGCCCCGCGGATCCCAGCAGCGATGTCTGAGGCGGGAGGGACCCGCAGGAACTCGGACGGAGAGGGAAAGGACGTCGGGATCCCCGAGTAGCGCCGCCGGGAGCCGCGAGGCTCTGCCCCAGCCCTGCGGGCCGCTCCGGCCGCGGCCCCTGACTGCACTGCCGGCCCCAGCCCCGCTCTGGCCCGTGTCCCCCCTCATCCCGGGACACTCCTGGCAGTCTCCTATTGAGAAGCCTTGGCATTACTCGCCCGGGAGGGGCCGGGGGCCACCCGGTTCCTACTCGCTCCTTTCAGGTGGCCAAAACCGCTCGCCAGCGGGAGCGGGGAGGCGCCGGGAGCGGACTGAGAGCCCCCAGCTAGGACTCGCCTCCCCAAGCTGCCCCCCACCTCGGGGCGGGCGCTGCCAACTTCCCCCTCCTCTCCCCACACCACACAAATGCCTGATTTCTCCAGCTGGATTTTCTCACCTTTTGATTTTCAGCAAGTTTAAAGGCGCAGAGAAGAGTGCCCATCTACAGCTACCCTCACACACACACTCCCGCAAGCCGAAGGGACTCCTGAGGGACCCCAAGGCTGTCCGGGCCTGGAGGGAGCTGCCCCACAGCGGGAAGCGGAGGACAGCCCCCCGAGCACGGCCACGGGGGACGGGGGCTTCCCCCGGAGCACGGCCGTGGGGGCACAAAGGAGGGGACACCGGTTCGGGGCCCGGGCTGCCTCCAGCTGCTCCCCCGCCGCGGGGCTCCGGGCAGGTCCCGCAGGAGCCGCGCGCGGCGGCAGCAGCGACGGGGACGGAGGAAGGAGCCGCTGCTGCCGCCCGCCGTGTCCTGCCCTGCCCGGGGCTCCGCCGGGAGCCTCCCCGCGCACGTCCTCGTGAGGAGGCTTTTGTTCTTGCATTGCAAATGAATTACCACAAATAAACAAATAAAAAGGATGACTGGCGGCAGGATGGTGGTGCGAAACTTCGTTTGGCTCCGTTTGGCTCGGAGAGCAGTTTCCGAGCCTGGGCAGCCCCCTCCTCCCCAGCGGAGCTCTGCAAAGAGCCCCTGGTTTAACTCAAGGTACAAAAACCCGGATCAATGCGTGCTCTTCGAGAGCCTCCCGCAAAGACTCTCGTGGATCCTTGCCCGCTCACCGACACGCGTGCCGGCGGYCACACGCGTTTATACCCACGGACACTGCACTTTCCTATGCACCAGCCTCCCTGCTCACGTTTGTGCCCCCCACCGCACACACTGCCTTTCCACACACACATAGACCTTCTCTCGCAGCTTCTCACACCTACGCGTTCATGCCCAGAGCTCCACAGCCACACACATAAGAACGCCCTTAAATACACGCGCATTCCCGCACCCCCAAATACACACACAGTCCCGCGGGACCCGCTATCCCCGCTGCACCCATGGGCACAGCCCCGCGTGGGGATGCTCGGAAGTGGGGGAGAGGCAGGGTCCGGTGCCCGGCGTAGTGCCCAGTGCCCGGCCAGCCTGTCCTCCCCCCGCTGCCCAGCCCTGGCCGCCCGCCGGGCTCGGGTTTCTCCCCTCCCCGTACCTGCCTCAGTTCTTGACTTCTGAACTCTTCAGGGAACTCGCTGGCGCCAGCTCCATCAACCAAAGTCCTTGTGGTTAGGAGCTGAGAGGGGAGGGAGGGAGAGCTGGGGCCGGCCGGGCTCGGGGGGGCTACCCTTGGGCAGGGGGACTTCTCAGCTCCTAGCGCCACATCTGCCCTCATCCCTCTTTGGAGGCAATCTGGGGCACTCTTTGRGCCCCTTCCCACATGGGGAGTGGGGGGCAGACCTCATTTCCCACCCCCAAAGCCTTCAGGTTGCCTATGAGGGAAAGGCACACACTGCTCCAGCCTGGGGACGTGGAGGTCCCTTGCTCTCCCTGGGCTCCAAAGGGAACCTAGCACTGTGGTCAGGACCTGGGCAATGCCCCTTCTGTAGTAAATAACCATCACATGCTCCTTGTGACTGTGAGCATYGACCAGTGCCTTCAGTCGGTGCATGGCCCTCTGCACGGTGGGCAAATCCTGTTCCCTCCCCAGCACCAGAGATCCCACAGCTCGAGCAGATGCTGAGGGCTCCAGAGGGACGAGCCCCGAGAAGTCACAAGGTCACCACCACTGAGCCCGCCTGGGTGATGAGGGTCACAAGTCACCAGCTGCTAAGGTGGGGGCTACCAGGCAGTAAAATCTGCCAGAACAGAGACTGCAGGTAAGCTCAAGCAGGGCATTTATTTGCCAAGTAGCAGTGAGGAGAAAAAGAGATGAGCAGTCAAGGTTGTGATCCTAACTGGGATTTAGGACAATGGAAACTATTAATAATTTTAGGGATGATGCATAGTTGCAAGATTCCATTCCTGCTTGAGCCACAGACTGCACCTGCAGGCTTGGGAAAGTCCTGCAGCTTCTGGCATGGAAACTTAGCGCACTGAAAGTCTAAATACCAGGGAAATACCCAGGTCAGATGCTCAAGTTCAAATTTCTCTCCACCTCAAATTTTCCCTGCAATCTACAAAGGAAGGAGGTATTGAGATAGAGGGATCTGCAGACGTGTGCGAGCTCCATTCACCCACTTCCCTACCAAGCTTTCTACCCATGGTAGGATAGGACCCTTACCCACTCAGGGACCACTCCGTATCTCTCTCTTTCCCAAGATCCTACGGTATAGTCCAAGCTGGAAGACTATATCCTTCATCCCCAAAGCTGCTGAAGACCTTCAAAGCTGGATAAATGTGATAGTGGGATCTCAAGTCCAGCAGAGGCTTCATACAGACTCTATCAGCCTGACATCAGGAAGAGCTTTCACCACCTGCTGAGTGCTTGTTCTTGCACTGGGAGGTGCAGTGGGAGCTCTTTTCTGGTCAGAGAAATACTCCCCTTCAACACCACATTCAGGAAGCATTTCAAGAAAAAGCCAKATCAGCTTTCTTGGGAGGCAGGCAAGAAAAAAAAAGTCTCCAAAATCCAAACTTCAAGTCACTGCAAAAACAGTGAGGTGAAGAGCCCAATTCCCTTGATTTCTAGTTCTTCAGAATCTCTCACACGCACTTCCACCTCAAGCACTAAGGGTCGCTCACCTATTCGTGTCAGCTTCAAAATTTTGTCTCCTTTCACCTGCCAGGCACCAGCCCCCAGTGTCCTGGTGCGGGGCTCCTGCTTCCCCACGGCCACACTGCRAGCACGCAGGAGCCCCAGGGAGAGGACAATTCTGAGGGGGGCAGAGGCGGCAGTGGAGATGAGGGGACCTTCTGGGCCACACAAATCCCCCCTCTGCCCTCTCCACCGCGGGCTCTGCCCAYGGAGGTCTGGGGACCCTTTCTCAGGTTTTCTCATTGATCCAGAGCATCTGCCTCCAACTTGCAGAGAGGGAGTGGGGCAGTCCAAGCCGCAGCCTCCTTCCCTATCATCTTCTGCTGAGTTTTGCTGGCTTTTGCGAGCTCTGCTCAAGCACTGAGCTCACCCAGATCGCAGCTCTCCCCCCGGCCATCKCTGAGCCTGCTCCCTGCCTTTGGCATCAGGCACAAGCAGACTCCCAACCCAACATCTGCTGCGAAATACCAGCCACCCTCCAGGGTGGAGTAGGACAAAAGTGGCGTGTCTGAGACCTTGGCAAGTTCCCAACAAAGCGCACAGGACCCTGCRATCCGAGTTTTGTTTTTTAAACCACTAAATTGCTCCCAATTACCTGAAGAGCGACCGAGGGACTGCAGGAGGCGACATGGCTGCAGCTGGCCATCACCTTGACACCTCAGGGTGCAAAACACACGCGCACACACCGCTGAAAGATAAGCCCAAACTCTCTTCCTTTCTCACCTCCTAATTAATTTATTTCGTTTTGGCAGCGGGGGTGGGTGCATTGACCAGCACCGGGTGCTTACTCAGCCCTACGCCCATCCATCACTTTCCKCACTTCTTTCTCCCCTGCCCCTTCCCCTGTGAAATCAATTTCCGCGGGGCCGCGCGGGACGGGGCCGCGCACGAGGCAAGCCCGCCTGGGAGCCCCACGGCCCTCGCCTCTAACTATCCCGGGGGTCCCGGGGGACACGGGGCAGCCGGCCAGGGCCCCGGGCTCGGGCTGCACCAGGAGGGAGCAGCGGGACSCGCCGGAGCCGCTTTCCTCCTCCTCCCCGCTGTTTTTAACCGCTCGCTTTATTTATGGCCGCCCTTTCCACGGCTCTCCTCGGGGGGTGTCGCAGCTGTCGCGATACTGCTCGGCTTTAGAGCCTCGGTCCGTGCTCGGTGCTGCACAACGGCGGCTCCCGTCCCGCGGGCACATCGGCCTCCCACGGGCCGGCTGCCCCGACGGAGCGCGCTTTGCCAAAGGAAATCTCGTTTCTTCTATATTCCCGGGAAAGAAAAAAAAAAAAACAATAATACCCCGAGAGGACAGACCCTGGCTCCTCCCGGCCGGTGCGGGGACTTCCTTCTTTAGGGCCCGACATCGGGGACCGAGGCAGCCGCCGAGCCGCTCGCTCTTCCAGGGCTCCTTTTCTCCGGCTGGATGTCCACGGGAAGGACGGGCCGCGCTTCCTGCACATTAAAAGCAATTAACACCATTTGGAGAATTTTTAATTGCTCTATAAAGCACGCCGTAAATAATTACTCCCAGCTCTGTTGATCCCTCGAATATCTACTGACAGTTGTAATTTATGGCTTTGCAAACGTGGCCCCTTGTATTCAGCATAACTCCTTATTACAGTAATGACTTAGCTCCTCTGCACTTAATGAGTATAAAGTGCTCGGCGCAGCGGGAGCGGGCGAGAGCCGCAGCATCGCGCAAACTTCGCCCGCAACAATATTTCTCCCCTTTATGGTTACAAATGACCGGGAGCCTACGAATTAATACAGAGTGGAAAGAGCCGCTGTGGCTGGGCTGGCTGGGCCCGTGGGTGCTCGACACTGTCCCCAAGTCCAGGGAGGCCTCGCGAGGAGCGAAACGCCCCCCTATTCACTAACCAGTTGTGTCCTCACCCGGCTGGGAGCCGTCTCTGCTCCCAGAAACACAAACCGGTGCGCAATCGGTGTTGGACGCCACATCAGATCTGAGGCTGGCCCCCTTCTCCCCGGTAAACTGAGAAAACAAAACTCCCTGTGGAGGCAGCTCTAGCCCCACCAAAAACAGAGTTAAGGGAAGTTTAGCAACTCCCCTCACCTCTCCTCTCGGTGAGGGCCGTCTGCGCGGGGAAAATTAATCTTTTGCAATCCCCTCCCTCGGATGAAGTGGGTTGTTCAGGCGAACGATCCAGTAGCAAGAGAACTGTCGCAGTTCAGCTCACCTATGGGCACAAGCGACTCAGTGCCCTGCAAATCAGGTCGCCCCCCGCACCCAGCCAGCTGTCCTCCCTGCCCCTGCCCAGGACAGAGCCTTGCACAGAGAATGCCCAGCTCCGTGCAACAGGTTGGCGACTTCGACGTGAGGGGGGAGAAGGGACAGAGCCCCCTGGATAGGGACACCTGGAGCGGGGGGAGGTGCTGAGCCCCTCGGGACGCTGTTTTGGGAAGGAAGAAGGAGGCAACAAAATACCCGGCGGCGCCCTCTGAATATTCATGGTCCCTTTCGCCGGAGCAGCATCTGCCAGTAAGTTATTGGTGCACTGGCACCGGCCCCCGTCGCCACCGCGCAGAAATGCGTGTAATCCCATTAGCCGCTYCCCCTGCCCACCCGCCCGCACCAGCCCTGCCGCTAATGAACGGGGGCTGGTCGCCCCCCGCCCCCGGGGAGGGGGGAACACCGGGCCCGGGCGACCCCGGGGCTCCGCCGAGGGCGAGGCACCTCCCTCATTAACTCTCCGCTTAATTACCCCGCCCCGCTTAATTGCGGCTTCTCGCAGCACAGAGAAAGTGTGGGATGGAGGGGGTCTCTCCCGGGGGCGCCGACCCTCGCGGTGCTGCGACGCAGAGGGCTTGTCGCGACAAAGCGGGTGGCGGCGGCGGCGGCTTCTCCAGCGCGCTGCTTTTGTCTCCTCTGCTACTCCCACCCCAAGGCCTCTCCTCGAGCACAGCAAGTCTTGTTTTGCCAACATTTTTTCCTTGGCTCTGTCGAGCTAAAAGGCAGCCCTGGTGGGCAGGAGTGGGGGGAAAGGAGGGCACAGGTAACTCCCCAAAAACCGTGACGGGGGTGGTGGGAGTTCCGCTGGCAAAGTATTTTTCGCTAATGAACAAGATGATGTGACAGTTAAGGGTCCTAATGACTGCAAACACCGTTCCTGGCTTAGCTGTGAAGTCTCCAAACCTCCCTCGCTCAATATTCGCCTTTCCGTCTTTAGTTTCCTTTCCTCGGCTCGTCCCCTCCGCTCGAACTGCGCMGCACATCCAGAGAGCAGGGGGCAGGAGTGGGATCACAATCCCCTTTCCTTTAAAAATATTAAATATAATATTGATCATATATATTTACATATGTGGAGAAAGAACCGGCTGGGGCTGAAGGAAGGCRGGGACAGCCTCGGCTCAGGAGGAGCCGGGGGACAGACACGATCCTTTAAGTCACTATTCCCGTCGCCCAAACCACCACCTTCGTTTGCAGAGCCACAGGGAGCAGCTCAGGATTCAGGYGCCGTTTCTGCACGTGCAGAAACCAGATCAGCTGCCGCACAATGTTTGTAAAACTCACCACGCGTTGTTCTCCCCTCAGAAGTACTATCCGGAGGAACCAGAGYGAGTTTCGAGTTTACTACAGCTGAAAACGGAAAAAGAGGAAATTGATGATAGACGTTTCTAGTATTCTTTAGAATTTTCTGTATTWTTATGTATTTATTTATTTCCCCTACCACCACCACCCCGTGCAGGGCTGACACAGGTATTCTGTCCCCAGCCCGCCCTGCTACCTGCAAGGCTAAAAACACATCTCGAATGCTGCCTAGGGAATTTACTGTCCCAACTCCAAGGATGTGCACTTCCCAGGGATCACCTGGATTTGAAGGAAGATCGAACATTGATTCTAACAGCATTCACCGCACTTGTGAATTAAATAATTGTGGATTTTTTTTCTCCCAATTACTATGTTCACTGTATTTTTGCCCCTGCATTTCGTTACAATTCCCATTACTGCAGCTTCCAGGACTTCAGGGAGGATTCTCGATGCAAACGGAGCCCTCTCTACCCTGGAGGATTGGCAGTTTCTGGGTTTGCCTGTCCAGAAGGGGGGATCCTGAACGCCAGCTCAGAGAGAGCACAACTGAAAACAAACGAATAAAAACGAGCTGGCAGATATAAGTCACAATTGGCTACACAAGTACTTCAGTCCCGTGCATATCACTCGCAGCTCTTATTTGCCGGTTCTAACACAGACAGGACAGGCAGGGTAGGGGTTTTGTGCGAACTTGTGCTTCCACGATGCCCCTCTCCTTGCCTTGTCACTGCAGCAGCTGGACTCAGTTCGCAAAGTCCAGCAGGCTCCGAGAAACACCTGGAGAAGTTAACGCTGCCATGGAAGCTCCCCAGCTCGGAGGTGCCCAGATGCAGGGCTCTGGATGCAGCCCCACATTCCAGCTCCAGATCTGAGCTATGAGCATCGGCAGCGTTTGCAGCCTGGTGAAACCTCCTGCTCTCCCTTCCGAGCCTGCAGTCGGAGATCCTGTCGGGAAAGGCAGAGCTGCTTCAGTGGATTTCAATCCTGGGAGAAATCCCAATCAATCATCGTGCTTAGCAGGCAGCATCCTTGGAGCTTAACCCYGGCCGCAGTCTCGCCGGGGACCCTTACAGGTGCAATTAAAAGCAGGAGCTAAGCTCAGGCAGCGAGCGAGCTGGCAGCTCTATTGGCAGAGAGGCTGGGAGAGAGCTTGGCTCAAATACAACCTAGTGCAGAAAGAGCAGCAGCTTGGCAAAATTCTGCTCCTCATCCCCACTACATTTCAGGTATAGATCACCAAAAAGCTTAGATGAAGGGCTCCATTAAACACCAAACTTGCTACGACAGAAGCAGCAGCCCTGACATCACTTTCCCAGGTTCATATGATCCCCCACCCCAGCATCATTTTTTTTTCCTCCCCAGGATTTTTACTGCTCAGAGTAGATGAGCCAAGACATTTCCTTCTCCCCTTTCATAAATATTGCATCTCCCAAATGCAATTACCAAGGGCGAAGCGACACAAGTGTTTGCTAAATAAGATTATGTGATAATGTTAATGTATTTTATGTCTCTGCTGTGACACCAGACAATCCCCCTATTAATAACAGCTCAATGAGATGTGGAAGTTCTTAACAGGGGTTTGGGGGACTCGGAATTTTTTTGCACCACTTTAGCAGGTCTCTGGCAGATGCAGAATCAGATGAGAAGAAAGATGAGGCCCTCATTAAAGACTCTTTAGCTCTTTTTGAGGGGGGGGGAAACACTGCTGTTGGATCTAGCAAATCCACCCTCACCATCTTTGYGGCCAGCTCTCACCTGCAAGAGGARTGCACTCCAGAGGAACCGTGATATGCTGCCCATTGCCACTGCACTGCTCTTGGGGTCTCTCTCAGGGAGGCTAACACTACAAACCTGATGAGCTGCTTAAGCAAAACCAGGGCAGCAGTGGGAGCATCACAGAAGTAACATCTGTACATGATGTGGTTACTCCAAAGAGTCCACACATTTTGAACATAGACAACAAAAATGCATCTATCCAATAAGCAGGCTGATTATCAGGGGCCAACAGAAGTGGCAAGCAGAGCCATAAGTAGCCTGGAGGGTCCAGTTGTGCTGTATGTAACACACAGCTCAGTTAACAGCTACCAGGGTACAAATCACTCAYGATACCTCATAATGCAACAGGTCTAGAGAGATTTCTGCACATTACCATGATCTTGTGCCTGAATTACTGCCTGGCTATCAGCCATGCATTACCCAGCATTTGTGGGCCCTGTGGGCTCATCAGAAGTGTGTTGTGCCAGTGCATGTGTCCCCAGCTATTAATAATGCTGGACAGAGCTGGCCCCTCTCTCGGCTGATGTAGAAGAGCAACAGAAAGCATCCCTCAGTTCAACTTCCCTTAGTTAGGACAAAAACAACCCACCCACTTTTGATTCTCCTTTCCATCTCTCCTGGCTATGACCTGTATCTGCTTGTCCTTCGTTTCCTCCTGTGGCCATGTCCATCTTGTTGGCACATTCGTCCCTTGTGGTCTCTGTCTCTCTCATATCACTCACATACCCACTTCTTCATGGCCCAAAGTAACTGGCATTTAGATTGCCTTGACCTGAAGCATTTTGCTGCACCTTGTGTTGAGAAAGTCGTTTGAAAGATGTGGTCAATTCCCAAGCTTTCTCCAGAGGTCCCAGTAGATTCAACGTGTAAGCAGCAGCTCCCAGATGCATCCTGGCAGCATCCACCTCTACAGCCAGGAGGAAGAAAGAAAGAGCCAATACAGGCAGGTGCCACAAGATAAACAGTCTGGGCGGCCACAAAGCCCCCTGCTCACCCCACCATACCCAGGGACAGGCCATGGTCCAGGTACATAACCGACAGCAGCCCCAAGATGTCCTTGGGCCAAGCCATTACAAAATCCCATGCTGAAAATAAGAGACAGCCAGTGTCCAAGTCAGTGGATCCCCTATAGTCATTTCCCTTAAATCTGCCCCTACCCTTGAGCCAACAGACAAGGACCCTTCTAGAGGTGGTGTCCTGAGCTTGGCCCTCAGGGTGGCAGGGCCACCATCACCATGTTGTTGCAAACAGTGACACACAAGTCCCTTGCTTTCTTTGATGCTTCCAGGGAAATTCCTCCTGAGTCTGAGAATTTTGCCTCTCCATTTCACATTAGCACTAGTTTGTAGCTGCCCTCTGGCCCCGTGGGTGGAAGGTCAATCCTTTATTTACTTAGCTCCTCACTTAGTTCATCTGCGTCCCTTTTAGTGGTTTTGAAAACAGAAACAAGGCAGGCTGCAAACCTGCTGCCCGACGCACTGTCTGTCTGCCCCAGTTCTCCTCCACCTGGGAGGAAGAGGAGATCAACCTTCCTCGGGTGATGCCCCGCACAGCCAGACGGGCTGGACAGGCACCAGCTCTTCCCAGCACSCAGGCAGGTCTCCTACAGCATAAGCTGATGTGCCCCAGAATCAAACCAAGCTCAGRTTAAAAATTATGAGCAATAGAGAAGAACTGCATCTTGACATCATCTACAGCCTGGCAGGTACCTGTAGAGCTGTCTGCACCCAGGGTTTCACTGCCCTGAGGAAGGGCAGTACATCCAGACATTGCRATTTCATTGTGCTGATGCCCTCCTTGRCCAGAGGACATCAGAGCCCTGCACYGAGCAGAGGGACCTCACYTGCTGCAGGCTCTGCCCCAGAGCAAGCTCTCCTCTTGGCCCTGTGAGAGCAGTCTTCAGAATATACGAGTCCTGCAGGTCTGAGCTCAGCCCTGGACTCTGCTGAGGTAGCTGGTGGCTGGGCTCAGAGAAAGAAAGTGGCTCCAAAGCATTGGGGCTTGGGTTTGTAGGACTGCRAGAGTCCACCAGGATGGGGTCCTCAGCCCATAGGGCACCTGGTGCCACCTGGAAGCACAGCAGCAGGTCACTACTCACCACAGGKCTGGGAGGGTGCTGACCACAGCAACATCCTGACAAGGAGCTGCACCAGCCTGGCCCCATCCAGCTGTGCTGCACATCTGCGTATCCACAAGCTCTGCCCCTCAGTCAGCAAATCATCCCCTCTGATCATCACCATGCCCTGTGCAAAGGATGAAGTAACAGGACAACAAGACCTCTTTCCCATTTTATTATCATCAGGCCTCCTCCAAAATAGCAGGAGCCCAAGCCACCCTGATACAGCACCTGGCCACCTTTACCATGGCACAGGCCAGGTGCAGTCACAGAGTAAACACTTTACTTGGATAACGAGGTGCAAAATGCCTCAAGAAACAGGGCAGCAGCTTCCAAAACGCAATCCTTGCTTTCACCCTGTCTTTCCCTGCAACTCCAGTTCATGCAGGTTTCCCATATTCAATAGGAGCATTAAGCAGTAATCAAATAACATCAAAATGAGTTAACTTCAGCAATCAAATAATAGTAATACCAAATCATTACTATCGAATAGTTTTAAATAATACTTCAAGGGTTAAGAACTTTCCAAGAACATCCATACTTGGACAAAATTTAAGTCCTGAAGGAAAAGACAAGAGACTCTGACCCTTTCAGATGATGCCTTTGTCACCAAATCATTGCTTAGGAGCTGCCCATTCCCAGTCCTCATTGGTATCACTTCTTAATAGCAAGTAACCCACTTTGCTAGCAGTGGGCACGACTCTTTGCAAGGACTGGACAAAGCAAAGGTGGCTTCCAGAGGCCACCAGAAGAAACAGCAGGTCTTCCGTGAAGGCTCCAGGCATGAGGAGGAGCATCAGCCCCTCACCAGGGTACAGGGGCCGGGTGTTTATTCAGGCTGCTGCTCACGGGAAGGATCCCGCAGAACAATGGAGCCGGCCGGAAAAACGGCCTCCCTCCGTCCGCATGCCCCACATCACCCTGAGCCTCCCGCAGGGCGAGCCGGTGACTTGGCCCAGAGCCACCCTGCTTGTGTTTGTCACCACGGCGTCTTTTTTTAATCTTCTTGTTTTCACACTCTCCCCTTTCTTTGGGGGATGGGAAAGGGCAGCTTCTTAAAGGAGGCATAAGGGACTTCAGGAGTTTAAGGTCCAAAAGGGAACATTTGCTCATCCATCCTGCCTGCCTCTTGTTGGCCCCCACATCAGTCCATCAGGGCAGGTTCCCAGCTCTGCACCTCCAGCACCTGCAGAAACACCTTCCAACAGCAGCAAGCAGCCAGCTCCAATTAACACCAAACTGCAGCCCAGGCTGGCAGCCAGCCCCTATGACTTCCCAGTGCCAAGGCTCCTTCAAAGCCCAGGCTAGAGAGGAGCACAAGGCTAAGCACAGCTCCTTTTCCCAAGAAAACTCATGCTGATCCACTCTACCCCTGTGAAACAGGGGCCTCCCACAAAAGCATTACTGGAGCAACAGCACCAGGATCATGGGATGTAATTCTAGCTCTGCCACATCCTTCCATCTACATAGGCTTGAGGCTGTGCATCAGCAAACTGCCAGCAACATTCACCTGCCACCAGTTTCAGATGTCCTTCCTGCCCTTGGAGCAAGCAAGCATATCAGGGAAAATCCAACCACCCTTCCACAGTCTGGGAAAACAGGCCTGCATCACCAAGACTTGCCTAGCACCTCCTGTCTCCCMGTCCTGCAACCAGCCTTGCTTGATTGCAGCAAAACACCCCAACCTCTTCTCTTGCTCCAGGGATCTAGACAAGGCCACCTCTGAACTTCACTGGAAGAACTCAGCACAAACCCACCTTTCCCAAGGCACCTCAGAGCTGGAGAAACCAGCCTAGGTAGAGAACAGCACCACCTGCAAGCCCATAGACCAAAAGCTCAGCCTCCTCTCAGGTGCTCAGTATTTATCAGAATGAACCTCTCCCAGGTGTCAGGATTTTGCCAAGCAGCACTGTGCCTGCTGGTTGCATGCAAGCCATGTTCCCCAAATGAGACTTGCTCCTGCTCTGATTGCATTATGGGATGTGATATACTGATATTTCTCAGCAAATTAATGAGCTCCGAATACCTTGCCAATCCATCACCACCCCAATCAGCTACATAACACATTAGCCACCTTGGCCACATGTCCAATGGTGCCAGCACATTGAAGGTCAAGAGGAAACTGAAAACGTGTCTTGGTTTTGCAAGGGTTTAATGCAGCCGTCAGACAGACATGGGGCTCARTTCGCTGTCCAGGGGCTGTGTATCCCCTCGCCTGTTGCCGCACCGTGCCCGAGCCCAGGGTGACATTGCCTCTGCAGGCAGCAGGGACAAGAGGGTGCAGAGCTGTCCCAGACACGGCTGCCATTACCCAGCTGAAGAGCCAGCCCTGCATTTGGGAAACCTTCACCCGGTGCCTGCAAATGCCCCCTCCGACGCTTAGTGTCACAAGAGAGGAGAGGTGACGGCTCCCTGGGCAGATGCCAGGTGAGCAGCCGTCCTGCCCGGCTCCATGATGTCCCATGTGAAATGTCCCCCCATCCATAGGGGCCAGGGTGTCCCCCCGCTGCTGGAGGGCACTGATGTCCCCATTCCTTGGGGGACATTTCAGAGGGGACATCCCAGCCTTGCTGGCAGCCTTGGCGCCGGTGGCTGCTATCCCCATATCTCCCAGTGCAGCATCTAGAACTGAAGGGCACCAAGATGCCAAAAGCTCCAGAAAAAGGAGATATCAGCAAACCCTGTCAGTGATATCATTTGCTTCACAGTTTGCAGGTGGCAGCCTTAGGTAATATCAAGCAAAACCCCATGGCCAACCAACTCCCCCAGGGTCTTAATGGGGATGAAGGTGTTTGCTTATTTATTTATTCTACCTCCCAACCCATCCTAACCACACACAAGGAGGACAACTGRAGGCAGAGGGTGACTTCGCCATCATTGGAAGAGGGCTGGCTGGAAATGCATTCAAAGCAGCTGCTTCTTTCCTTGAAAAATGGAATGACATTAAAGCAGCTTCGAAGTGGCAGGGCAAATGCCCATGTTGCTGTTTGCACTTGGCTTTGTCTCCATTGGGTCATTATGGAAAATGAAGTTTTCCAAGAGCGTCGTTTGTTCTTCTTCAACTTAAAAAATTCTCTTCCACCTTGTTCTCCTGGTAGCATTTTCTGCTTTATCTCATTTTTCAAAAAACAGAATAATAAATGTTCCATTTCTGGTTCTGGAAGAAATAGATACAAAAACYTACCGATTTAAAACTTTCTCMCTAGCAAACTGGGCACCAAGTGAAGCMTTTTTTTTTCCCCCAAMAACATACATTTGCAGCCCTTGAAATTTTTCAAAAGGAAAGAGCCACCAAAACACCAAAAATCCAGTAGTTTCCTCCCCAAACTGATGGAGATCTCTCTGGAGGAAACGTGCCCGATAAGCTAAAGTAAAGCTGCCTCCCCTGCTTTATCTCAAGCCGCGTGTCAGATGGGTATTTCCAGCAGGATCTCCCCTGGACACTCAGAGCATCGAATTACCCCCGTGCCGCGCTCCTCCACTGACCTGCTTCGGCACAAAAATGTGGGGCGCCCGCATTGCAGAGAGGTGCAATCAGGTGATGCTCACGTTGGGACTTTTGTGCCTCAGTTTCCCCAGGGCAGASGCCGAGAGCAATCATCTCACTAGTGGCTCTTGCAAAGCCAGTGTCGACCAGGGACGTGGGCGCTTCTAAGCTGAAAAGCACCCACTGCCCACGAGAGCGGCGAGCAGACATCCTGGCACCCAYCCCACTCTGTTTTCCCTATTTTAGGCTTTTCTGGCAATATTCCCCTTGCACAGAGCACTATTCCCACCAGTGATGCCTACCTCGGTCACGATTCCAAGGCAATCAACCCACATCTCCCTTCTGTATTTCCCTCTGGGTTTGCCATGGAGATGCCCCTTCCTTCCCAAAGAAGCCCAGCCCGGAAAAACCAACCTAAACCCAGGCCAATTACCCGCTAATTGATGACGCTGCTCCCCAGTGATTAATTGTGGAGAGCAAGCGTGCGACGCTGTGCAAGCCCAGACCCCGGCGCAGCGACACCGCGGGTCCTTTATCAGCCCCGAGGCCAGCGGCGGCACCAGCCTGTCTGAGCCGGCCAGGTACCTCCGAGTCCCAGGGCTTGTTTGTTTTGGTGTAAGCCGGGGCGTAATTGGGGCCGGAGAAAAATACCCACAGCAAAACAAACGCGGCGCCAATGATGGACACAGCCCTGCAGCCAGCACGAAGACGGATGGAAGCGGAGCCTGTCCGGAGAAGCCCGGCTTGGGATGCTTGGAGAGTTCAACGCGCTGCTGTCAAGTACACAATTAATTTCCAGCGGCCCGTTTGAGGGTGCGGAGCAGGGCCAAGGGCTTCCTGTGACCCGCATTGTGCCCATGGCCAGAGGGATGGATGGATGGGTGGATGGATGGATGGGTGGATGGACGGACGGATGGATGTGCAGCCCTCTGGATCCCCTATGGGACCCCAAATCCTAGGAAACATCAGCTCCCCATGCCAGCTCTATGCATATCCCTCTGGATTAAGCATCAAGGTGCGGCCTGATCCCCCTTGCCCATTCCAGGTCTGTGTAGCCCTGCTCTGCCCTCATCCCCCCCACCACCACCCTGAATAATTCATGTACAAGACAGGGAAGAGGATAAATCACCAGCAGTGATTAACATGAGTTATTTTACGTGCTGGGAAGATCTATCGGCCCGGCTCCACCAGGTTGCAGTGATTAATGCAACTCTGCTCCCCTGCACAGAAGCCCTTATATTCAATTACAAATGCTGGTGGGCTCCCAGGCAGCAAGAAATCAGAGAAGACACCGACTGGAGGAGACTCTTGGCCACCATGAGAGGTTTCAGCTTGATCTACCTCTATACCAGCCTTAGCCAGGGTTAAAAGTGTCCGCGAGGGTTAAGAAACCCAGTGCACACAGAAAATGGGCAAGTTCGGAAATCCTCTCACATTGCGATGCGGGGCAAAGCCATCAAAGCTGCTTCCTGGGTCCCGTCCACCAAGACATTCTCCAGGATTATCAGGACAGCTCTTGGTACCCTGCAAGCAAACAGCCCTAGCATGCAGAGCTGAAAAATAAAACACACCACATCATGGCTTGATTAAAGAATTCATTAAAAATTCTTAACATTAACTAAATAATAACCTGAAAGTTATTTTAATCCYGAGGTCACGATTCACTCCATGTTCCTATTTTCCCGACCCAGCTCCTCACRGTAACCCTGAGGTTGATGATATTGCTGTTTGACTGAGCCTGCTGTTCCCAGATCTCTCCCTGGGCCAATTTCTTTGCAGAACTTCATCTCAGTGCTGCTGCAGGACACGAGGACTTCTCTTCCCAGGCCCCATGTCCCCTTTCTGGTGATGCCATTGCCTGTCAGGGTTTCAGCCAGGTAAATTGGCAGACACAATAGMGCACAAACAATTTTAGAATAAGGTACATGTTGATCTAGGTTATGCTGTAACACGGTCTAGAGCCTTGATTGCATCAGAGCCTCAACGCTCTCTGCTCCGTCCTCTGCCAAGGAATGATTCAGCCCCCGGTTGGACACATCAGCCCCACTTTTGCYTCCTCCTATCCCTGTGGCCACAGTGCATGGAGGGCAGCTGGGACACCGGAGTAAGAGCTTCACTGGCAAGACTGAGTCACAGCCAGCGGGAACTCAGTAAAGCATCTGACCATGCTAAAAAGGGAGGTTTCAGACCTCTTGTGTGTTCCCAAATCCTTCAGCTTGGCGGCTGATGGAGCAAAGGGGGTGAAACTGCTCCTTCTTTGCCCAGAAATGAGGAGCTCCCCAGCACCCTGCACGAGGTGAGGCCGGAGCTGYGGGTCCTGCAGGCCCGGTCTGCAGCAGGACAGAACTTGAGCTCAGATACCGTGACATCAACATCCTCCCCAYGCTGGATAGCGGTCTGCCAGCAAGGACTTATATAGGCCCAAGCCATTAACACAGAAAATTATTAGTAGGCTCTTGGGCAGAGTCTATTTTCATATTCATTTGCCTAATTAAATGTAAATCATTGCTCAGGATTACCACAAYAGAGCCCCAGCTCCATTACTTAGCCTGTATTCCTAGGGGAGAGAAGGTGTCACCCCTTGTGCAGGGGGTAATTCATGGCCCTGCTGGCTCGTGCAGTGCCAGCTAGCAGATCTATCTAGCAATGGATCTAACCCACATCCATGCAGGYGATGACGAGCACAGGGGTTTTATTTGGGCTCTGTGCTGTGGTCGTCCAGCAGCATCTATCCCATGCCTGTGCATTGCCCGTGATAGTGCYAGGAGGCCACTTCTTCCAGCCCGCGGGGTGCTGAAAGCGGTGACATCTGGCCGGGTGACAGCCGCAATGGCAGGGCTTGGAGGAGGCTCCCACAGGCACCTTGGTGGGGATCAATATTTGGAGCCTGCTGGTCCAGCCTGCCCTCCCCAGGGGTTGGCAGAGCATATGGGGGATCCCCAGCCACCAGCTAGTGTTGCAGGGGCTGTTCAGATGTCACCGAGCTCCCCACGGGACCCTCTGCCAGGTGATTCCCGCTGCCTGATCTGCTGGGCTCTCTTCACCAGCCTGGCCCTCATGTCCTGCTCCCGACACATCCGTGTCTGGGTATGGAGGTGACCGCTCATCCCCAGGGACAGCAACCCCAAAACACCAGAGTGCAGAGCTTGGTGCTCCCGATGGGACAAGGAAGGGCTGCAAGGAGGTGGAAGGGGTGGCGATGGATGCCCTGGGAAGCRGCACGGTGACTCTTCCCCGCGGCCAAGGCGCCTGCAGGATGGACGCGGTTCCTCCTGTGTCAGCCTCCTACSTCTGCTGACCGTGTCCCCTGCCTCCTTGTCCGGCCTCGTCCGCAA